CTGGTTCTGGTCTCCTGGTTCTGGTTTCCTGGTTCTAGTTCTGGTCCCCTGGTTCTAGTTCTAGTTCTGGTTTCCTGGTTCTAGTTCTGGTCCCCTGGTTCTAGTTCTGGTTCTGGTTTCCTGGTTCTGGTCTCCTGGTTCTGGTTTCCTGGTTCTAGTTCTGGTCCCCTGGTACTGGTTTCCTGGTTCTGGTCTCCTGGTTCTGGTTTCCTGGTTCTAGTTCTGGTCCCCTGGTTCTAGTTCTAGTTCTGGTTTCCTGGTTCTAGTTCTGGTCCCCTGGTTCCGGTCTCCTGGTTCCGGTCTCCTGGCTCTAGTGTCCCCCTCACCGTGTTGGATGTCCTTCCAAAGGACCCAGAACTTGGAGTTGTCCTCGAATGTGACGAAGCAGCTCTGCCTGGGGGGGCTGACCTGTCAACCAATCAGAACAACAGAGTCAGAGCGGCCGGCCAATCAGAAGAGGCCGCTGTCAGGAGGCGCCGTGCAGATTAACTCACCCTCTGGATCTTCCCAACATAATAAAGTCCATCAGACCAACGACACAGAACAAACTGACCCTCGCTCAGGTTAGGCTCCGCCTCCTCCAGCAGCCCCCCAGGAGACACCTGAGGGTCCAGACCGCAGAAAGGTTCCCCCAGGTCCTCGTACATCCTGGAGACACAGAGGAGACAGGGGTGAGAGAGGGGGAGAGACAGGAGGAGACAGAGGGGGACGGAGGGTGAGACAGGGACAGGAAGGACAGCTGCAGTGGGGACAGGGTGAGACATGGAGGACAGCTGCAGGGGGGACAGGGTGAGAGAGGGACAGGGAGGACAGCTGCAGTGGGACAGAGACATGGAGGACAGCTGNGGAGGACAGCTGCAGTGGGATGTAGGGTGAGACAGGGACATGGAGGACAGCTGCAGGGGGGACAGGGTGAGAGAGTGACAGGGAGGACAGCTGCAGTGGGATGTAGGGTGAGACAGGGACATGGAGGACAGCTGCAATGGGACAGGGTGAGACAGGGAGGACAGCTGCAGTGGGACAGGGACATGGAGGACAGCTCCGGGGGTTTCTGACAGCTCTGCGCATGCGCAGTGCCTCCCTGCTAGTAGAGCGTTAACTAAGCTGCTGACCGCAGAGAGCAGAACACCACCTGCTAATCTCACTCTATCTCTCTGGAGCTCGGAGCCATGAACAGAACCGGACCGGTTCGGACTCACCTCCTCTGAAGCGCCCTGTCCTCCTTCCGGTCCGGTCAGAGCCGCTGGGTGTCCGGTGGTCGTTGGGTTCGGTACCGGTTCGGTACCGGTTCAGTCGGGTTCTGGTTCTGGTTCTGGTTCTGACCCGTTACTTCTCTCTCGGTTTCGCGCTGCTGAACTTCAAACTCTCCCATCCGCCATTTTTTTTTCACTTTCCCGCGAATCACAGTCGGAGGTTTTTCTCATCCTGTCCACGTGATCCGTTAGACGTCATCTTCCGGAGGGGCGTGGCCATCCCGCATTTATGAGTTTACCATAGAAAAGTTCCAGTTAGATCAGAGTGACTAGAGAGAGAAGATTCACATAGAAATAGAGAACATAGAATAACATTTAGAGCAGTGATGGAGTAAAACAGGCTCAGCTCTAGTCCTGAGCTTTGACTAGGACACCTTTCCTTGTCCTCCTGCTCAGCTACAGGTCTGCTCCTCTCACACCTGTTCTGCTGTTTATGGCTGACAGGTCCCAGACCTGTAATGAGGAGGGTATGGGGGGCCTAGGGGGCCTGAGGAGCCTGGGGGGGCCTAAGGGACCTGGGGGGCCTAGGAGGTTTTAGTGTTGTGTGATGTAATAGGCAGCCAGCAGTGAGTCTCTCTCTAATCAGGGACGGATCCAGGAGTTGCAGGTGTGTGTGTGGGGGGGGGTTATCAATCAACCTGAACCCCCACTCCCACAGACAGACAGGAGTGTGCGTGTGTGT